CACCAGCAGCCAGACGGCTGCTGGTGGACGCTCGCGCTCCCCTCGCGCCGTCCTTGGCACGAGAGGGCGGGTTGATTTGCGAGTGCACCACGCAATGCCAGCTGGCCCTGCGGGTGCACTTCGCCCATGGCCGTGTGCTCATCTGGCGGCACTGCTTGCTGCATGGCCATGTAAAGACGCCATTTTTGCACGGTGCTTTGCGCAAAGCATTACGTATGGGGCCACCTGCGGCTGGGGCGGTCCTCGCATTCCAGCTGGCGTGGACGACTGCTGTCCTCCTGTTGGCTGCTGGCTCCTCGTTCGAAGCTGAGCAGGCTGGTCCTCGCTGCAAAGCCTGCGGTTTGCATGTATTGGACTGGCGGCGCGGTGCTGCACGCACTGCGGCGCGGATCCGTTTGGCCCATTGCGCCCGTCCGTAGGACGGGCGCGGTCGGTCGTGGCCTGGCGGCGGCACTCGCCTCCGGCCTGGCCAGCGTCAAAGCGAGTCGCCCAGGCTCCCTGCTGGGCGGCTCGCGTCGTGTTTGTAACGGTTCGAAGAAGCTCTTTGTTCACGGTTGCACCGTGAACAGGAGATTGGTCGAGGCTATGCACAAGCGATGCGCGTAGACTCCGTGTGGCTCTGGGCTGCAGCCTGTTAGAGAGCCGAGTCGCTTTAATAGCACGGCCGGGCACGGTCGTACCTCGCGTGCCCTCTGTGCGAACACTCTCTCAGTGTATGTATGTAGCTCTTACGTACATTCCCGGAGGTGGACTGCTGACGGGGCAACAACTTTGCGATGAGGAGCAACGTGGCATTCGATTACATCACTACCGCCGAAACGCAAGAGCACTGCGACTCATCGGGCTCATGCTAGCATCCACCTCGCGGGCCGACGTTCTGGCCCAGTTTATAGCAAAGAAATTTCTTTTTGTGAAGCCACCCGGCGTTTCCTGTGTGTGTATGCTGCTTCTGACGTGTTCGCCAGCTCTCCTGCCTCGTCGTGCCGCGATCGACCTTGCGGCGTCGGCAGGGATCGCGACGCTGCTGCCGCCGCTGCCCGCCGCTGCAAAGGCTGGCACCTTCGCAAATATGGACGGCTCCAAGTCGTCGATGGCGGCTGGCGATGCCTCCAATGCGTGCCTCTTCGCCCAGCCTGGCTCGGGGATATGCATGGTGTACGAGAGCAGCGAGCCGAAGCTGTACTCGACGCCTGACCAGCGTGCGGCGCTCGAAAAGCTGCGGGCGGCCGCTGAGAAGCTCAGCGGACTCGGCGAGCTCATCGCCTCGTCGCGCTGGACTGCGATATCGCAGCTGCTGGGCGGCAGCCGAGACCTACGTGAGGCCGTCGGATTTCTCACGAACGACGATGTGTCGAAAAAGGCTGCGAAGAAGGTCTTCCTGGACCTCGACGGCGTGGCTCTTGGAGCGAGCAAAAGGGACGGCAAGGCGGCGCAACTGTACTTTGCTTCGTATTCGCGGGACATGCCGGAGCTGTTGAAGCTGCTGAGGTAGACGCGCACGCAAGCGGGTTTGGGTGATCGAAATATGTCCGTGTCTTACTCGAAAAAAAACAAGTCTCCGCGGGTGCACACAAGCCACAACATCACAGATCACACGCGCACACTCAGGCTCTCTCAGCGGAAGGAGGCCACCCTCAGCGTCCCCTCGGTGGCGTACATAACAAGCTCCCACGGCCCCACGTACGGGTCAAACGTCGAGAGCAGCACCGCATACATGCCCGCCGGGAGTGGCGTGCGCGGCAAGCACGCGCCCCCCGCTGGGTAGGCGTACAGCCCCCCCTCGGACACGGCGCGCGCGCGGGAGAGGCCGCGGCCCGTGGCCTCTGTCCGCTGCTCGCCGCCGTCAAAGAGAGCGACGCACAGGGAGGGCGGCGCCGCCGAGCGGCCCTCTCTCGTGCCGGGCGCGCGCAGGCGCAGCAGCAGCTCGGCGGGGCGCGAGAGGACGAGCTGCAGCTGCGGGTTCTTCCAAAAGGCGCCGTGGTTCGGAGAGCCGGCGGCGCTCTGCCGGTCCCACGCCCCCTGGACCGCCTGCCGCTGCAGCCCGTGCGCCTCGTGGGGCAGCGCCGCCAGCCGGCCCGCCGAGGCGCGCAGCTCGAAGCCGCACTCGGTGCCCGGCGTGAAGGTGGACGGCACGACGAGCCAGCGGCCCGCCGGGAGGGAGGCCGCCGCCAGCCGGCAGCCGCCAGGTCGGTAGTCGCCCGAGCGGAGCGGCCACTTGCGCGCGTCGCCTGCAGGAAGGCTCCGAGAGAAGGTTTCGAGGAGGGTCCCGGTGCGGTGTGCCTCGCGCGGCGCCGGCGCCGGCCGGCTGCTCCGTCGGCGCCTCGGGGCTGAGAGCGAGCCCGAGCTGCACGTCCTCCGGCTTCGAGCCTGCGGGACGAGGCGTGGGGCTCCGTCACGGCCGCGTCACGGACGCGTCCGAGCTGCGGCCGGGTCAGCCAAGTCTGCGCCTCCGCCGCGCAGCCCGACGGCGGCGAGCTCGAGGACCGGGCTGGCGGCGAAGGGGAGCTCGAGCAGGAAGCGGGGGTTGTCGACGTACGAGTCGTGGTTCGAGGAGCCGCCGGCGGTGCGGCCGCTCCACGCGCCGGTGAGGCGCGACGCGGTCGGCTCGGGCGGTGCGATCGGGCGGAGGGTGAAGGGCGCCTGCGCGTAGACGTCGAGCGAGAAGTCGACCTGCGGGGCATTCCTCTCGAGTCGAGGATTCGATTCACTAGTCACTCGCGGCGAGCGGCCGGCCTGCGAGTCGGTCGGCTTGTACTGGGCGAGGGCGAGGGTGAGCTGCTGCGGCGCGGACGCGGCGGGCAAGTCGAACTTGACGAGCGTGTGCGGCCTGTGGGGCATGTCCGGGACACGTCGCGGACGTGTCCGTCGGCAAGTCGAGCCGGACAGGGCGCGTGCGGCCGGTTGGAGTACACTCCCTGCATCCAGCAGCGCTCGAGGTAGTGGGCGCGTGCGCCGCCGCGGAAGACGTGCACGGTCAGAAAGGCGTCGCGAGAGGCGTCCCGCCCCTCCGCCATGGCGAGGTTGTACGGCCGCGAGGAGTGGCGGGTGAGGAGGACCCAGACCGCCGTCGCCGCGCCGGCGGGCGGCACGTTGACCGTGAGCTGGTACTGCGGGTTGGTCCCGAGGTCGACGGCGTCGTCGCGGAAGGCGGCGCGGGGCGGCCACTGCCCGTGCGTCACGGTGTGGTGCTTGAAGAGCTGCGGGTTCCAGTTGAGGAAGACGCCCTCGAAGTGGCGGAGCAGCGAGTCGTAGTCGATCCAAAAGATGCCGTTGTCCTGCTGCAGCGACGCCTGCTGGTCGAAGCCGAACGCCTTGCGCAGCTCCGGCGTCCACCGCTGTCGGTCGAAGACTGAGAAGGCGCCGCGCCACCGCTTGCGCGCCCACGGGTTCTTGAGCTGCAGCAGCTGCACGCCGCACGCGGCGCGCACCTGCAGCACCGCGTACGCGTGCGTCGGCACGAGGCCGAGCGCCTATCGGCAAAGGCTCCAGGCTCACGCAAGGCCCTCTGCGTGCGCCGCGTCGGCACGAGGCCGTTTGCGTCGGCGGCCGACTCCTCCATCGGCCTGTACATGAGGAGTGAATAGTTGACAACTCATACCGGTATCACGAACAGGCCGACTCCCCCCTCGACCCGGTCGCGACGGTGATGAGGCAGTCGCCGAACTTCGACGCCGACGTCATGCGCTGCCACAGCCGGTCGCGCTTGAAGTCGCCGCTGTCCGTCCGCAGCTGCTCGGGCACCCAGCCGGTGAGGGCGTGCATGTCGATGCCCGAGTTCGAGCCGGGGAAGTCGTACCCTCCGTTGACCTTCATGTACGCCTTCTCGAGGATTGACACCCAGAGCTCCTCGGCGTGGGACGAGTGCGAGCACCTGCTCACATCTCCCCCCATCTCCCCATATCTCCCCCAATCTCCCCCTATCTCGGTGGGACGAGTGCGAGCACCTGCTCACATCTCCCCCTATCTCCCCATATCTCCCCCAATCTCCCCCTATCTCGGTGGGACGAGTGCGAGCACCTGCTCACATCTCCCCCTATCTCCCCATATCTCCCCCAATCTCCCCCTATCTCGGTGGGACGAGTGCGAGCACCTGCTCACATCTCCCCCCATCTCCCCATATCTCCCCCAATCTCCCCCTATCTCGGTGGGACGAGTGCGACCACCTGCTCACATCTCCCCCTATCTCCCCCTTATCTCCGCCTATCTCCCCCTATTTCCTCCTAATTCGTTAGAACAACTGGCTACACCCTCCCCCGGGCCCACCTGTGACCTGGCTCCCCTCACGGACCCTGTTGAAAGGAACTAGTTTCCATTGGACCGCCCTTGCCGGTTTAGCTTTCATCCTGTTCCCCTCCAATTAGGTGCTGATAGTACGTGTGACCCTGGGGCGTGCTTATGATCTTGTAACCCGTGTCTCTCCGCCACTAAAATTCGGCCGGCCACCTCAGTTATCCTCAGGGGGGGCTTGTACCTTCCCGCTCGGGTGGAAAAATGGCT